GGCTTTGGGAAGTGGAAGCCATCGTGGGAGCCCGAGGACGCAGGTAGTTTCGTAAACCGGTGAGTAGCGTCCCGGGGAGAGAAGTGAGCCGAATTGTCAACCCGAGGTGAGAAATGGGAGGAGTTGTCTCGAGGCGAGAAATGGGAAGAGTTATCCCGTGGTGAAAAGTGGGAGGCGTTGTCTCGCGGGGAGAGGTATGAACTGTGGGATGAGGGGGGTGGGTTGACTGCTTGAAGTGAGCGAAACGTCCATCTGGAATCTTGGTTGTCTGAATTACCTGAGTATAAACTAGCATTATCTAGAGACTGGTATGATCCATTGGCGGAGCTAGCAGTGCTTGCTCGTGGGTGACTCCATTGCTGATACTGGCCCTGTCTCCCATTTCCCGGCGACAGGTATGGTGAGCCCTGCGCAGACCGTGGCGCAGAGCCATAATCGCGGGCGGGCATGCTGGCTGGGTCGAATGAGGGGTATTGGTGAAAGTCGACGCCGCCTTTGTTAAGATGATGCGGCAAGGGGCTCCTATCCACGGGGACTTGATCCCCTTTGGGCAGATACTCGACGGCGATGGGGGTCTGAGAACCGTCGTATGGAATAGAGGTAAGAACGCCGGCAGAATGGTTGATCTGTGGGTCGGGTGAGTACGGTAAATCTATAGAGACGCTGGAGGAATCTCGCTTGTGTCGTGATGTACGGGAGTTTTCGTATGGATATGCGTCGGGTGCGAGGCTTGCAGCGTCGTTGGTTCGCTTGTCCTTGCTCTTCCCTCGGGAGAAGATCGAACGTGCTCCTGATGACTGCCTGGTCTTATCCGACGACATTTCGAGCAGGCGAATGAGCAGTCGGGCGGGTTAGGCCAGGCTAGATGTGATTATGGTCAATCGTCAGGGCGGCGGGGGGCAGCCTACAGCCGCTCGCATGTTGGAGGAGACACGAGGAGCCAATCTTTGCCGTGCGGGCTGGCGGGTAGTCGGGCTTGGGCTGACAGGAGCTTGGGGCCGTTCGCATCAGATTCCCCAGGGCTGGCTGCGTGAGCCTGATAACCGTGTTCGTGACGATGTGGAGCGGGAAAAAGTATCGTACGGGGTACAGGATGGGAATGTGTGGTGTTGAATCCGCCGCCCTCCAGATGGAACCTCCACCATATTTCGTTACGACGTAGCGGAGATAGACCTTCAGGGACTACAGGTAGGTAGCACCAGCGCCTTAGGTGAGCTGCTTGCAACTGTGTGAGTCCCCTCCCGCTATGACCTGCTGAAAGGGTCTTAGGCTAGCACCTCCATTAGTGGGATTGGGTTCGGGCGCGCACAGACGGACGGCCACTTCAGCAGTTTGTAAGCGCAGGTACTTGGTCATAGGAGGCAACCTCGCACGCGCACAAGTACCCTACAATGATGGTGGAGGAGGTAGGTATCTTTAGGTTCTTGTCAGCACTGCACTTGGAGCTGTGCCGTCGCCATTGCCGGCGGTAAGAACACCTATCGATGTCCAGCTGCTTCTACAATATACGCCTCCTACGCTTGCCCCAACTGATCCAAGAGTGATGTGTGTGAGGATTCCTGGATCACTAACACGCACGCACAAAAAGGGCTAGGGATGCGCGGTATCCTCGCGGATAAAGGCAGCGGGAGGATTTGTGACCTGATTCGTGTGAAGGGCTGGGACCCCTGAATGACAAAGACGGGTCTGGAGGCTGCATATTCCATCCAAGGATGGCCATGCCGACCATTTTAAGCAAATCATGTACGAGCATCTGACGTACAATTTCCAGTATCATGGGGACCTACATGGCGAGGTGCCTCCTCTGGGATTCATCCAGCTTGTCATTGCAAAGCAGCATTCCAAAATGGACGGGCGCATATCATACCCACAATAGAGTTTCTACTTCCTGTTCTATGATCGTCCAGTTGGTCCACAGGCACCGCGCTCTACGTCCTCGCAAACTATATTCACATGGCACCATTTCAAATTCCATCTCACCGACCGGACCTATCTCTCTTTGACTTCTGAAACACTCACACGGTAGCCAAGGGAGGGGAAATAGCCGCATGAAATGCCTCGCGGGGAAGACGAGGATCAACAGCTAGCAAACCAATGCGCCAATCCTCATCCTTGTTGCATGGAGCTATGTAATTGCCGAGCCCACTTGCCTAGTCCCATTTTCGGTCTTTGGAGATGCAATTTCGTCCAAATTTCCGATCTTCTCTCTTTGTAATCCCATACGTACTTCAGATGATCAGATGTCTCCCTTGTTTCCATCCCAGACCACCCGTGCGGATCATCACCAGCATGGAATTGCTTCAGCCGCACGCGGTAATGTAGTGACTCCCGTCCTGGTATCAACGTTTCCGTAAGATCTCGCCGGCAGCAGGACATGGGAACACCACGCCATGCCTTGTTCAACCATGACCAAGATATATTTTACCAACCGAAATGGTCCGGTGACGAAGCTCCTCGTCGCGCCGAAACACCATGAAACTAATAATCCTACGCATCGGAAAGCTCTCTTCTCGACCCAACGGACCAAATGAAGAGACCAGAGCCGGTCCTTTTATTCGTCTCGATCAAATTTAGCACTCCTTGTGGCCTCATCATGAATGGTTTCGTTACGCGATGCGTAATAACAGTGAACCGCTCGCGGATGCTCATCTGACCGAAGCGCCAGCCGGCGCGCGCATCCCAACTTACTCTCAGCAAGGTTTCGTCTCTTGACGTTATAGGGCGAGCCGGTTAAGTCGATAGCAGAACGATTCTTCTAGGGCTGGCTTTGACATGTGTTCAAAGACGGTCGATGGTGAAACGCCAGTCTCCTACTTTCGGAATGTTACGTTACCTGTATCAGTTCCGGGCAATGATTCATTGCCCACCTTCTCTCCCAGCTTACACCACATCTTACCTCGCGCCAGCCTTCAAGTAGCATATCTCCAGTGACAGTCCCCAGCATTCTAATCTAAGCACCTACCTAGTCTGAGGCGCGGCCAGGTACAAGACACAAGTCGATTTCAAAGGTAAGCCACCATCGGACAAAACTAAGTCATCATTCGGGCAACCCAATCCCTGAGGGCAGCCGGGTGCCGTTGATTTGAGACATATGAACATTATTCCGCTTCTTTTCGAGTCTGCGACCGGTATTATCGGATTATGATGCGTACCTGCTCAGGAAACAATACATTATATAATATTTTCCAAGTTTAGAGATCGGCTAAAGAAGGTTTCTTCTATTCTCTGAATAATGAATGAAGATACTGGTATAAATTATAACTTAAATATCAAGGCCTCGATAATATCCTTCAATTCCCACGTTTTACCACCATATCAGCAAGGGTCTGAATCTGCACCCCATGCAGACTCATCTCGTGTTAGGCTGCATGCCTGCCACGAGTCTCACCTTTCCTCAGACCGGCAAAGTGTAGCGTGGCATCGGGGCGGGTTCAGCGGGACCAAAGAGCCTACGCAATGGGGAACTCAGCCCCAAGCGTCACCAGTTAGCCACCTCAGCTGCCTGCTAATTAGCGGCCCCGGGGACCTGAAATCGGCCTGTCACTTCATCCCGAACGAGGCTCTTCAACGTCACTCTCTTGTTAATCCCCCCCAGAGGGAGAGAGTGAGAGCTCGCACAACCACCACCAGAGACAGAGTTCGCGAGCGACCGCTCCAAAAGAACGCAACCATGGGGGAGAAGCTGTCGATCCTCAAGGTAAGCTCCTCCCAAACCTTGCCGCGCGACCCTCATATCCCGTCCTCCACCAGTCTTCGTCATCGACTACGACGGAAACCCCGATTTTGCTAACCCGCAAGGAACACAACAGACGCTCGTTATCCCGGCCATAGTCTCCCTCCTCATCTTCCTCCTCCTGACCTACATCGTCATCCCCCTCTACCGCCGCTACAACCAGTACATCCCGCTCGGCTCCGTGTCCCCCGTCTCCCTCCGCGATCGCCTCTTGACGCGGATCGCCGCCATCGCCAACCGGAGGGAGGATAGTTACCTCACCCCGGATGCCCAGACCATCGACCACAACGACGAGCAGATCGACGAGGGGGAGGAGCTCGGCGACGTCGACGATCATATGCGGCTCGTCATTGCGAGCCATGCGCGTGCCACTAGGCAAGACACGACCAGGCGGCTGAGCAGAGAGTATGTTGTACTCCTTCCATCTTCATCCCCAACCCTACGAGTCCCACCATTTTAACATTCAATCGTCAGTCTAGAGGAGGGATTCCGAGACGATAGCGATGACGAGGCACCACCACGCCGATAGACTATTTCCAGACCAATATCATAATGACTTCTTTTTCTATTTGATTCTTGCCTAACAAGCTCGTGTCAACCCCCTGTCATTCTTGCTTTCAATATCCGTGCTTCGCAAGTGACATGATTAAAGTATCAAAAGGTAGGGACAGGTACAGGCAAGGGCGCCGCAAATCTGAAGGGTCTGCTGTGATTGCTATTCGAAATTTTACATCTAGTCGCTATGGATTCCCGCAACAATAACTCTATGGTATCCTTTCAAAGAACCCTTGACAATATTAGTGCATCAGGGAATGATAGACACTTGTACCGCTGGTTTATCAACGAGGTTTCGTTGAGACTTGGTCACTTCCAAGATTCCGATCGCTGCCATCCTATCCGTTCATTCTTTAATTACCGCGCTTTTTCTTGAACATACCGAAGAACTTCTTCTTTGGTGCAGGCACTCCGTTTGCTTCGTTGAACTCCTTTTGCATGCGTTGGACATGTTTTCTCTATAATCTTTCCAATTGACCTTGTTGCCAGCGATAGCGGTATGCATACATGTGGTTAACGGCCAGAGTGCAGAAACCAGCGACGAAAGGCACAGATGCCACAGTCCGGATGGCCTTCTGGTGATTGGCTTCAGCGTCTGATATCTTGTTGGTTATTTTCAATCCTTGAGGAGACTCGCAGTAGGCACATCTCCATAAAATCTGGTTTGCTGTGGTGCTTTGGAATAGTGTCCCAGCCTGTTGCCTCTGTGGAATCACCATATGGCCGCAAGAATGCCGCAAGGGCGAGCAGCCGGGATGCGGACATCCGGTGTGGTCCTGATCCGCGAGGTATCTAAAGAGGCAAATATGCCCAAAGGAGTGCCCACAGGGTAGATGAGCCCGAGTCTCTATAACACCATAGTCATCCCGCGCATCAATCTCATGGCTGCACAAACTGCAGTATGGGGAAGGGACTCCGTTGCTATGGGGAAAACCTTCGCCACCTCCAATCACTGCTTGGCTGGGCTGGCCTTCCACCACAAGCGTTGGGTTGGATGAAGTGGCAGTAATGGATTCGATGCTCGGAATTTGCAGTGGAGGAGCCGTTGGCTCCTTGAGATTCCCTGGATCAGAGTCGGCCCCAGTCGAATTGCCCTTGACCTGAGATTCGGAACTATTCTTTGCTGTTTCGCCGTTCGTAGCTTTATCGCCAATCTCCTCTATTTCCAGGCTGCTCCTCTGTTTTTCACTGTTTTGGGTCTTTTGGGGAGTGGCGGACATTGAACCTTCTCCTGGCCGAAGATCAAGACTATTACCAGAGCATGCTGGCTCTGACACTGGCTTCCTCCTGATACCAAATGCTCTTGAAAGTGAGGATGAGCTCTGGGCCTGGTTGGTGTTCCCACCTTCCTCAGCAACCTAGGCTTGGTTGGCAGGAGCTGAAGAGTCAGGTGCTAGGCTTTGTTGTGTAGTCGCGGTCTTTGTATGGGTAATATTTGGATCGGTATCTGAAAGTGGACGGCTTTCGCCATTCGAGGCTTGTTCCTGGGTGGCCATTTTTATGAGATGATGCTGCTTGTTTCCCAACGTTGTTCGAATCTTGGAAAGTTTGACGAGGGTGCTTCTCACACACCGCTCCAAGTCTTGGCTAGCCCGGACAAAAATTCAGTGAGAAAGAGGAGGACAGTCGGACTGGTGGGCCTTTTGATTTACCTTTGTATGGTAGATAAGTTCGACAACGTAGTGGCAGTGAAGTCCTGCGTGAGTGATGGGTCGGGATCAGACTTCTATTTGAAATCTTGGTTGATAAGTCCCAATTTACTTGACCAGGGACGAAAATAACAACTCTTGATTCGTATAATGATCTGAGTCGTGCGGTAGAAAAAGATACTCCTCAAACAACTGTGCTGCTGTGGAAAGGTAACGATGGTTGATAATACGAATTGTTGAAGAGTATGAAAATAAAATTGGCAGAACCAAAGAAACTCGGCTGCTTTTGTTTACACCTTTCCTCACAAATATGGAGACTTCAACTCCTTCCTTTTAAGGATTTTCCCTCGGGCAGGTTCGTCCAATCTTCATGTTAGGGAAAGTCCAGTGCAAGTTGTAACTCTCAGGACCTAAAATGTAAAGGGCAGTCTAGACCTTTAAGACCGCGTTCTCTCTCTACCTACAGGCCGTAGAAATACTCCAGGATGGAACAATAAACATAAACAATACCTAGCTATTCTCCAGCATATCCACTAGGCAAATAATTCTCCAGCGTTGGTATTTAGGTGCCTTCAAGATACCTACCTGAGAAGGAGGGTATAGGGTAGCCAGATTTGAGCAACGATCAAGCACTGGCGCCTTCCCAGATGAGATCAAGAAGCTGAGACTAAAGCTACTGCCTTCATCAAACCTTCCTTCCCCATATGCCTGCCTTTCTGTACTGAAAATGCGATTCCGGACTGAATTAAAGAATATCAAGACCTTTTCGAGTGAGTATTAGTCTCCATGCCACCCCTTGTTCTCTAAACCGAGATCATTCCCATCGTGAAGACCATAGGGCTGACCAATTGCCTACACATCGTAGAACTCACGGCAGCGCTTGGTTCCCTTGAGAAAATTGCCTGGGTGCGCCTTAGCGATGATACAGTAAGATTCACCGTGATCCCTGATATGGGATCACAAGTCTGGGCGTAAGTCAATGCCGCTCCTGCAATCACACAACGTCGATCCTTTCGCTACTGCTCTAATGCTAACATATCTGCCTTGCGCTACTAGCTCGCTTTCTATGGACTTCCTCTTTGGCAAATACATCATCCAATCAAACGAGGAAAACAACAACATTGACCTGGAGCTGCCGCTTCAGCCTCTTCAGCGAGCCCTAAAATCTGCTCGTGATGGCATGTCCGCCACGCTGGGCCTGACCAAGAGCGACGGGATCCCCGTGCTCCGCATGACAATCAAGACCACGACCTCCAACTCTGCAAATGGGCCGTCCTCCACCAAGCCTCCCACGGATGACCCATACGCTGATCCCGAAGACGAGGTCTTCCAGAAGGAGCACCTGGAGACCCCCCTCCGTAGGAAGCACGAGAAGATCATCACGCAGGACATCCCCGTGCGAGTCCTCCACCCCGAGATCGTAGAGACCATCATGCAGCCCAAAGTCCGCAACCCAGACGTCCACATCCAGCTGCCCCCGCTCCTGCAGCTCAAGGCCATCTCTGACCGCTTCACGAAGCTCGCGCTGTCATCATCAAATGCCCCCAAGGCGCCCAAACTCGAACTCAGCGCCAACATGCACGGGGATTTGCGCCTGCGGATCCAGACTGAGACCATAGACATATCCAGCTCTTGGTCGAACCTGGAGAACCCCGAGCTCGACCCTAATCAGCTCGACGTCCCCCTCGAAGAGCACCCAAGCACCAGGTTCCGAGAAGAAGGGCCAAACCGCTGGGCCACCGTTCGCGTGGATGGCAAGGACTGGAGTAAAGTGTTGAGCGTTGGCCGATTAGAGGGCCGTGTCATTGCTTGTTTTGCGGATGACCATGCCCTCATTTTATATGTTTACGTTCCGCATTACGACGAGGTCATGGCTGACGAGTCAGTTGTCACTGTAAGTCCAATGTTCTTGTCTATCCTTTTCCCGTTTGTACAATCAGCTGATGCCATCTCCAGTACTACGTACAATCGTATAGTTCCTAAGCTGCTCCACAGCGAAGATCTCTTCAGTAATAATGAGGCCGTATGGTCCCTTCTGGTATTAGGACGGAAATCTATGGCGTTGGTTTGTTTTCAAGATTATTCAATGATTAATCATGGGCTACATTGTATTCACGTAATGAAAGAAAGGGCCAGGCCACAGATCTTTTAAAATAAATAAGTCAACATTAATCGCTCTATTTGGACTGTGTCCGTGTATATATCTATTACAGCAATGTACAGGTTTCAACCGATAGTAGTGTAGTTGGTACAAGTTTTATAAATTTCCAAAACAACGCCTGCGATGGAGCTTAGTTCAGCCCGATCACTCTTTTGCCATCACATCGACATAACGACCACCCTTCCTGGTCTTCTTCTGCCCCGGCTTGCGCGGCGCGGCAGCACCGATCAAATCATCGATGCTGCTAGCGTTGCTCATGCTCGTTGCAGGCCTGGCAGGAAGTGTACTGGCCGACAACCCGGAAGGAGGGGCTGCTGAGGAGGGCCTGGGAGGAGACTTGAGCGCCGGCGCAAGGCTGTCGCTCGACTCGGTTCTGAAATCAGGGGTAGGGCCGGGAGTAGACACAGACCGTGGGGGAGGTCCGGAATGGGGAGAACCCATGGGTGGTGGAGGAGTGCCTGGGGGAGGCGTGCTGGTAGCAGAACGAGGTGCACCTTTGGGAGGAGGAGGCGTAGCCTTCTTTGCCTCCGCATTTTCTGCACCGGGCTTCTTGTTGACCCATCTCTTCAACTCAGTGTCATAAACAAATGTACTTTGTTCGCCCAGTTTGGCTCGGACATATTTCGTCTCCTTTGAGTTCAAATCGCCGCCGGGCTTGGGTGATTCAGCCCGCTTGCCAGCCCCAAACCAGCTGGTCAAACCCCAACCCTTCTTCGCTGCCTTTTGTTCGGCCTCGCGTTTGGCTAAATAAAACGTCAGTAACATTTCCTTTTTTCCATAGCTAGTGATGCTGGTTAACTTACCATCCTCTTCCGCGGCTTTGCGGAACATCTCTTCGTTTTCACGATCTTTGTCTGCCTTGGACTTTTCTGCCTTCAGGGCAGGAATATCATCATCGTCATCATCCATAAAGTTTCTCCTCTTGGGTTTGGAATCATCAGTCTCCGCCTCAGCCGAGGGATCTTCATCAGGCTGATATGATGGTGGTTCGTATCCATAAGGCTGGAACGATGGTGGCTCATATCCACTAGAAGCACCCTCCTCAGTGTTTTGAGAGTTGCCATTTTCTTGCGGGCTTGCCGTTGATGTATTCGTTTGTGGAGGCTCGTACCCGAAGGAGGTTGGTGCGTAAGAATTGCCTGCAGAGGGTGCGTCTGAAACGGTGGCAGATGAGAATGACGGGATAGTGGCCGGCTGTGAGATGCCTAAGGGTTGGTAAAAGCCAGTATTTGATATCTGGGAGGTCGGCGAAAAGGGCTCGCCCGAAGTGTTCTGGGACTCGCCATATGAAGCTGGTTGATAACTCTGGAATGAGCTAGAAGCTGGTACATATGGGCTACCTTGGGGGGGAGCAGCCCCGACATGGCCTGCTTGTTCACTGGCACCAGGATAACCGGGATATTGTCCTGAGCCTGACATTCCCTGACTGTTTTGAGAGGAGGGGTCGTAAGAGTTTCCTGATCCTATCAATGGAGTAGGCGCATACTGCGACGATGCGTTGTAAGGGTTTGTTGACCCTATTGAAGGAGTAGCAGCTGGTGCATACTGTGATGTCGGTTCATAGGGATTTCCCGACGCTATTGACGGCGTGGCTGCTGGAGCATACTGTGAGGAAGGTTCGTAAGGATTTCCTGATCCTGCTGGTGGGATAGCAACTGGTGCATAGTTGGAAGCTGCAGGAAGGTTCGGCATAAAACCAGGAGCTCCAGCGCCGAAATTCTCGAAGTTCGTCATAGAAGGTGAGCGGCTAATTGTGGGTGTCGTAGCGATGCGGGCAAAAGGGCTCTTCTCATTCTCAGAACCAATGTTGGCGCCGTTGGCATCAACCTTGTCTCCGGTCACAAACTGGTTGAATGTGTGCCACACACTGTTCATGTTAGGTTTCGAAATCCAGGAGGAGCTCTCTTCCTTGGGTACTTGACTGAGCCGGGTCATGAACTCCTCGACAAGAGCCCCAAGTGCCATCGTGTAGTAAGGTGACCTCTTAGCGTTCGAAGATATGGCGGCCAAAAGTGATTCACAGTACTGCAGTGCCTTGTCTCGGTATCCGTACTCGGCCAGAGACAGAGCCTGGTGGAACTTGTAGGAAGCCAGATGAGGCGCGCCCGCTACAGCTCCTGCCAGCGACATACCATATTCGTAGACCTCGGTAAGTTGAATAGACTCACTGTCTTTGACAAAGTAAGAGTTGTGTTGTCTTTGATCGGAGCCAATGAGAACGATGTTAGAGGCTGCATCATCTGCCCCTCCAAATACTGAAACGGTGCGACTGAAGATAAAGCAAATATGGGCAGCCTCGATACGTCCATACCCAGCGAGTAAATTTCCAAGCGCATGCAATCCCCGTATGTCATCAGCGCTACGGTTGCTCAAGACGAGTGCCAACGCCTCCTGCCATTTGTCCAATCCACTGATGGTGTCTTTGACCGGCCCTGCATCTGTTGTTGACATCAGACGCAAACCAGCACGAGCATGTGAGGGGACCATTTCGTCGACACAGTCATCGTGGTTGCCTGACAGGATCATGTAGAGAGTAGCCAAAGATTCGTTATTGTGTCCTTGGTTAACCTCATTTCGAACAAATTCTTGTGCAACTCGCTTGTACAGTACCGGAGAGACTGTATTTGCGATCAGCATCGCATGTCCCCACATCCGTTTATCAACAGCGGCCCAGATGGCGTTCTCCTTGTCACCTTTTAAAAGAGATTCACGTATCTGGTCCATGGTTGCGCTGTCTGCACCATCTGCTCGCATTGGGGGAGACGGTCCAGTAGAGAGACCCAGTCCTTTATCTGGGGAGTAAGAAACACCGTTGACGGACGATGACCCGGTGATGCTTGGAGATAGCACCTCCCGAACCGCTTTTTCAACAGCCGAGTTACCCTCCAGAGTTCCGTCATGCTCTATGAAGACTCGTAGGATCTTCCATAAAAGAATCTTTTCTATCTGTCGCTTCGCTTCGAGTGAAAGCTCCGTATGGAATGGAACGTTGGGGAGCTCCTTCTCGAGCTCCTCGATCCCTGAAGTCAACCATGCGATTGTTTCCTTCTTCTTGGATTTGCCTTTCAGGGGGCCGGGGAACTTAGCAATCCGGTCTGAAAGGGGTTCAACATCTTTGATACTCCTAACTTTGACTTCACCAGGGACTCGGGACACGGTGGGAGTCGAGGAACCCATTGCGTACCTGGGGATACTCTTAGGAAATGAGGTAACAACGGTACCCCCAACTCCCCATGAAAGTATTGGAGCGCCTTTCCAGCGTTGCAGCTGATCATGCTCACGTCCATCAGTAGGCGGGACCATGATCATATTCAGAGATGTTCCCCTAGCTCTATTATGTGAGTGCACCGCTGTGGTTCGCTTTGAGTCTGAGGCAGAATGCATGGGGGGGCGAGAAGTGGCTTCTGGCATTGGTGCAAAAGAAACTCCACCTGGAGATTGAGTTGATGGTCTTGGGGGAGGGACGAACCCGGGATGAGCAGCCCCCGGAACATAATTTGAACTGGAATGCCGAGGGGGTGACAAAGTTGCCGAGCCTGCCCTAGAGGCTGAAGGTGGTGGGGTTTGACGCGACGTAGGAGGAACTGAACTGTTTCGTGGTCCTTGAGTGATACCCAGCGATACCCCTGCTACGGACTGATCATCTTCCTCATCGACTTCTCGCGTGGGCGGAAGAGAAGGCATACGATTCAAACGAGGTTCATAAGATGAGCTGCTCAAGCGGCGCTCCCTAATATGACCGCCTTCGGTGCTGGTCTCGAAATGGGCCAGAGGGCTCGAGGTCCTAGGGAGGTGAGTCAATGCGGGAGCCGCACCAGAGACAACCCGAGTTGGGCTGTAGCCGCTCACTTGACGAGGAACAGGCGGGGCAGGCGAATATCGGGAGCCGACAGCTGGCGGGATGCCAGCCATATGCGCACTGTGAGTTGGTGCCGGAGAGTATCTCGAAGCCTGGTTGGCGGGTGGCGGAGCTGCTTGGGAAGGTTGTTGTAGGGAAGCATAAGGATTGATTTTTTCGGGGGCTACCAAATTTGCAATCCCAGATGGCTGATGGGTTGGCTCCGATGGATGCAAAGGCGCTGCCGGAGCAAGACTCGGATGTTGCCCGAGGGGAGGCGTCGACATGGGAGGGCCTTTTGGTGGGCTCATGGGAGGAGCTGGGGATTCAGTGCGCATGCTTTGTCTTGATGCCGACCGCGGTTTCGAAGTCATAGGCAGCTCTTCGAAGAAGCTACTGTTGCTGCGGGATAGGGGTGTCATTGGCTTCTGGGAGGGAGTAGATGGAGGATGGGAGCCAGCCGGTGGTGGAGCTGGAGAGTTCATGCTTGCGCTTCTTGATGGAGGCGGAGGCTGCGATCCAATGGACGGGGAGCGACTTGATTGCGCGCTGGGCCTTCTGCGAGACTTGGGGACACTGGCAGCTATATCGGAAGGAAGGTCATAAGGTGAGTGATAGCCTCCCTTCGATTTATCGGCGAAGCTTTGAGCCTTCGTAGGTTCTGGAACTGGCTGGGCAGCTGGGACTTGAGCATGCTGCTGTGGTGTGAAGTTGGTTGAGGAAGTTGGTTGGGAGTAGAAAGGCGACGAAGATACCGCAGGAGCAGTAGGGAACCCACGAGCATTTTGAGGTGCATACGGATTCGAGATTGAGGCCTGTCGTGACGGTGGTTGGATCGGCGGCGCTTGGGAAGCTGTAGGAGGTTGTGTCTCCTCCTCTTCATCGTCCTCGAGAAGGCCCTCATCATCACTGCCCAAAAAGGCTGCAGGGTCAACCTCCTCAGTCCCATTCCCGGCATTATCAAGTAGAAAGCCACCATCTTCATCGTCATCACCAAACGCCTCTTGCCATTTCGCATCCATTTCCCCAGAATTGGCCGGTTTGTCTCCAGATTCTTCTTCCTCCAGAGTGGTATCCATGGTCTTGCGGGGAGAAAGGGGGTCCGACTCAAACCCTTGTAAAACCTGACTTGTCGACTTGCGTTCCAGTGGGCGAATGGGTGGCTCAGCATCTACCGCTTGAGTCTGAACTTCGGCAGCTGTCGAGGCAAAGAAATCATCGTCGTTTCCATCATTGTCACCAAAGAAATTGGATGGTTCATCTGCCACAGCAGGCTTGCTCGGGCTTGCTGGAGCATCCGATCCTTGCTCAGCTGAAAGCAAAGGCAAACCTTCCTCATATCGTGCGTCGGCCACTTCACCCTGGAAGCCTTGCACGTTGCCACCAATCGAGTGCGACGGACGGTGCCGGGTGCGAGGGAGGCCTGACGCCGTCGCAGGAGCATCGGATGACGGTTCTTGCGACTGATGAGGGTATTCCGAATCTGAAAGATCCTCGGGGTCTTCTAAAAGATCAACCGTCTGGTTCAATGCTGAGGAGTTGCCTCCATGAGAAGGGGTTATCGGCGGAACTTCTGGGAACGAATTTGATCGATCTGAAGGACCCATGAACTTAAATGGGTCAGTGTTGGATCGCGATAGGTTCCAGTCTGATTCTTCATCATCGTGAAAGTTGAGTTCATGTGAAACTGTACGAGCGAAAGACATTGAACTCGAGTGTTGCGCATTGGTAGCCGAGGGAGTTTTTTCATTAGTTGTTGCAGATGGGGTATCGTTGGGTTGTGAGGATGGTGCGGTCTGTTCGGAGGGCAGCCAGGCACCACCTTGGACGTGTTCGTGCTCGTGCTCGTTGTCTGCTTCTCCCGTGAATGATTGGTCATTCTCGGCAACCAGAGTAGCGTCGAGATCAAAGTGGCCAGGTTCAGGCTCTAATGGCGTGCCATTGTGGAGCGAGTCCGGGGACCCGGGTGGTGATTCTTTGGCTTGCGACGAGTCGTTGGCTGTTGACGCAGGAGCATCGTGGTTGGGCATGAGTGCAGGGTGCCATGCAGAACTTGGCTGATCGGCAGCCATATTGAATGTGTATTAATCGAAAACCCAGACTAAAGAATAATAATAATAAAGGAAGGAGACAGCAGAAACAAAGCCGCTGGAGCTGCTGGAACGCGACGAACACGCATTAGCTCAGGCTGAAGCGAAAGGGGGAGTGGTCGCAAATGATGCAGCGCAAGCAGAGGTCGGTACTCACTCAGACGATTACCATATAAACGCTGCGCCCCGTTATATGATGATGCCGGTCACCATATCCAGCGCGACAGAGGCAAGAACAAAGGGATACAATCAATTACGTGAATGGGCCGGCGATGGAAAGTGACAGTTGGCCTGTCCCGAAATTTAGGAGACTGGTGTTGCAAGATAGATCTGGCTTATCGGGATCTAAGCAGCTCGCCCCTACCCACTGTGGTTAGCCCGGAATTTATCCGCGTAGCATTCTTGTGAGATTGTACGCCCATAATTAATTAATTACGTCGTTTGTCTTGTAGGGATTATGCATCTGCCCTGTCTCACCTTCTGCATGGCTTTCCAGCATAGCCTGTCGCGAGTTAATTGCGCTGGATAATGTTCAACTTGATGGTTAACATGAACGTGTTCAGTTCTGGCAGACAGGCCACTAACACAATGGACCAGAGTACCTACGGACCCAGCCGGCTGCACTACCTATTTCGACCAGGAGTCACAAGAGCCGATCTGCAGGCAGCTGCTTGGTTTAGCATGCCACTAAAACTCTCGGCAGTGGCCTGGTTGAAGTACCACAATTGACCCTGCCATTTCGCCATTATTAGGTTTACTACTCTGGCAAATAGTAGAGGATAAATACGAGGTGAACACTATCACCTTAAACGACGAAATCCAAGATGTGTAAGTATGATAATCCTGAATGGGAAAAAAAAAAGACCTAGAAATCTCAGACAACCATCATCGTCTGTTGGACTAGTGATTTCATGCAGGGACATGACGCAGCCGTACAGGTCATCCGCGACACCCTGGACTCCGTGTGTGGTAGGTCTGCGTGCCAACGTCACTGCACCAGGCAGCTCAGATAGCAGCTGCGGTACCTGGCCTACCCGGTAGCACGAACCGTTAATATGGGCCAGCGTATCCTCAAGCAAGCCAGACTTACAGCCATCTTGCTATCTAACTAAAATCCAACGAATAGCAGGACCTACCATCCTAACGTGGCTTCTACTTATGAACGCGCAGGCATAAATAATCGACCACACTCGCGCAACGATCCTATCCTCAGAACTGGCCAAGACTTGGACTGCTACACCTAGTCTTGGGTGTCGATATCGACGAGCTCTCGCAAGCGCTATCTCGCCGCTGAAACAAGCTACATTGGTCTCGCATCGCACGCATCAGATAACTTGGCACATCATGTTGATAGCCCCCTGAACTCTCCTCGCCTTTGACCATCGACGCGATATCTTCAAGCTCTGATGCGGCATGTCTTCCTCAACACCGCTTCGACCGAATGATCCGCCCGATTCTCCAGCGCACGACTCCGATTCGGATCTCGACCTAGACGTCAACGAGCTTGACCCAATTTCAACAGAGCCGGCCCAAGGTTCTTCAGGAGGGCGAAACATCGCAGAGCGCAGGACATCAAGAATAGCGTTACGGAACTTGCGCATGGGTGGAGTCCGCCGTGTCAATAACAGAGGTCGCGGGTATGGCGAGCTGGGCCAGGATAGGGAGGAGTGGGACGCCGACACCGAGGGCCTGCTGGCTGAGGAAGAAAGAGATGATCGCGAAGGAGACCGAAGTCCTTTGCTCGGGGGCGAAACTACCCCTTTGCGCCCGACGAGGAGGCCGTCATTGAGACTCCCCAGCTTCCTGTCGAGGAGCAGAGCACCCCAGGCTGATGCGCCCCGCGACCAGGAGGATGACAACATCGCAGAAGAGGACGACTCGTCTGATTCACGGCTGATCGCGGTCGGCTCTCGCCAAGGGACAAAATTTCCTCACAACGTCATCTCGAACGCAAAGTACACAGCATTCACTTTTCTTCCCATCACACTTTACAACGAATTCTCCTTTTTCTTCAACATGTACTTCCTTCTGGTTGCCCTTTCGCAAATAATACCTGCATTGCGCATTGGCTACTTGACGACTTATATTGCCCCGTTGGCATTTGTCCTGGCGATAACAATGGGAAAGGAAGCATACGATGACATTGAACGACGGAAACGAGACACCGAGGCCAATTCGGAATCATACACCATCCTTAAATTTGACGAGCCACACACCGCCGCACACGCCTCGCGACAGCAACGCACGATGAGATCAAACAGTACGAGGACAAGCCAAAAAAGACCTAGAACAAGCCGGCAGGATTTGGCCGACATTCGGGAAGAAGAGGACAATGGGGCTGGCATGTTCGTTCCTTCGTCGAAGGTACAGGAGGTTCAGCGCAAATCGAAAGATCTCAAAGTGGGAGACGTCCTCAAGCTCACAAAAGGACAGCGAGTACCCGCGGACGTTGTGATTCTCAAATGTTGCTCTGCCGAGGGAGCTCACGCCAGTTCCGTGGAGACGGAGGATGAAGAATTGCTTCCCCTTGATGATGCGGAAAGCTCGCCAAAGGCCAACGGGAAGAAACCAGACGCTGGCAAGGCCGAAGGTGAAGAAGAAGAAGGTGGAGGAACTGCCGGGGAAACCTTCATTCGTACCGATCAATTGGACGGTGAGACGGACTGGAAGCTGCGACTTGCTTCGCCTTTGACGCAAAGCCTTGAACCCGAGGAATTTGTTCGCCTGCGGGTAACTGCTGGTAAGCCGGATAGGAAAGTAAACGAGTTTTATGGGACTGTCGAACTTGTATCATCTAGGGCAGAGGCTCTGAGCCAGCAGACATTGTCGAATTACGATGGCGAGGGTGGCGGCCAGTCAGCTGCGCTCTCCATTGACAACACGGCTTGGGCCAACACCGTGATTGCATCACAGGCCACGACCCTAGCCGTGATTTTGTATACTGGTACTCAGACTCGATCCGCAATGTCGACTGCTCCGTCGCGTTCGAAGACAGGCTTACTGGAATACGAAATCAATTCCCTAACGAAAATCCTTTGTGCCTTGACCCTCCTTCTCTCCATCATCCTGGTCGCCATTCACGGTTTCGAATACACACAGGGAAAAGAGTGGTACATCAAAATGATGCGATTCCTGGTATTATTCTCAACCATTGTCCCAATCAGTCTGCGAGTCAATCTGGATCTTGGAAAAAGTGCATTCTCGTGGTTCATCCAGCGTGATCCTGGAATGCCCGGCGCTGTCGTTCGTACGAGCACCATCCCTGAAGACCTTGGACGTATTGAGTATCTTCTAAGTGACAAGACCGGAACACTGACTCAGAATGAGATGGAGATGAAGAAGATTCATATTGGAACTGTATCCTATGCGAATGAGGCCATGGACGAGGTTTTGGCCTATGTTCAGCAGGGATTCCATTCTCGGCCAACTGCCTCTGGATCGTCTGCCACATCGTCAACTGCTCTGGTCACTCCCTCGAGCATGGCATTGGCTGCTGCGAACGCAGGGGCTACCCGCACCAGAAGAGAGATTGGATCTCGCGTTCGTGACGTCGTTCTCGCCCTAGCCCTATGCCATAATGTCACGCCTACTACTGATATTGAAGATGGAAGGGAGGTGACCTCATACCAGGCTTCCTCACCAGATGAGATCGCAATCGTCAAGTGGACAGAGTCTGTTGGCCTAAGACTTACTGCACGTGACCGTAAAAGTATGACACTGGAGACAACGGATGATGCGAAGATTGTGGTCAAGGTCCGAATTTTGGACGTCTTTCCATTTACATCCGAGGGCAAGCGAATGGGTATCATTGTTCAATTTCTCACGGACAGTCGGGTTAAAAATCCTGACCTGTCAGCAGGCGAAATTTGGTTCTATCAAAAGGGAGCAGATACCGTCATGGGTGCGATTGTTGCTGCCAACGATTGGCTGGACGAGGAGACTGCAAACATGGCTCGGGAGGGCCTTCGCACCCTGGTGGTGGGCCGAAAGAAGCTCTCGTATCAGCAATACCAGGAGTTCTCGCGGCGGTATCAAGAGGCATCTTTGTCTATCTCAGGGCGCGATGCCGGCATGCAGCGGGTTGTTACTCACCATCTTGAGCGTGATTTGGAACTCCTTGGAGTCACTGGTGTCGAAGATAAACTCCAAAAAGACGTCAAGCCCTCTCTGGAACTGTTGCGCAATGCCGGTATCAAAATCTGGATGTTGACTGGTGACAAGGTCGAGACAGCAAGGTGCGTTGCTGTGTCTTCGAAACTTGTCGCAAGGGGTCAATATATCCACACTGTGACCAAGCTCAAGAAGAACGATGTTGCTCAGGACCACCTCGATTTCTTGCACAGCAAACTCGATGCATGCCTCCTCATCGATGGCGAAAGTCTCACGCATTATCTCACTTATTTCCCTACAGAGTTCATCTCGGTTGCTGTTCTTCTACCAACTGTTGTTGCCTGCCGCTGCTCGCCGACACAAAAAGCCGACGTGGCAAAGCTCATTCGAGAATACACGAAAAAGCGAGTCTGCTGTATTGGTGATGGTGGAAACGACGTGTCTATGATCCAAGCGGCTGATGTAGGTGTGGGCATCGTTGGCAAGGAGGGCCGGCAAGCGAGTCTGGCTGCCGACTTCTCCATTGATCAGTTCTACCACCTTGTGAAACTTCTTGTTTGGCATGGACGCAATAGCTACAAACGTAGTGCAAAGCTCGCACAGTTCGTCATCCACCGTGGTCTTATCATTGCTGTTTGTCAAACTGTCTTCAGCATTGCTCGCAAATTTGAGCCTCAAGGACTATACAAGGTCAGTTCTTCCCTGTGCTATATTTCTTCCTATGATTAATACGCCTTGTAATGCCAAAAGAAAGAAAGAAAAGATGGCTAACTGCATTATAGGACTGGCTTCTTGTTGGATATGCAACAGTGTACACTGCTGCTCCGGTCCTCAGTCTCGTGCTTGATAAAGATGTGGACGAAAACCTGGCTAATCTCTATCCCGAATTGTACAAGGAGCTCACGTCGGGCCGATCACTTTCCTACCGCACCTTTTTCGTCTGGGTTCTGGTTTCCATCTATCAGGGAAGCGTAATCCAGGGCCTTGCTCAAGTCTTGAATGCCGACCAGGACAAGATGGTCGCTGTCAGTTATACCGTACTGATTCTCAACGAGCTCATCATGGTCGCTATCGAGATCACCACATGGCATTATATCATGATCCTAAGCATTGTCGGCACGTTTTTAATTTATGTCGGGTCGATGCCCTTCCTTGGGGCTTATTACCCCTTACATTTCTTGATCACTTGGTAAGGAAGCCCCTACCCCGTAGTCTATCTTCGAACTCGAACTGACTTTTTCTGAATAGGGGTTTTATCTGGCGCGTATTGGCTATTGGGGCTGTATCACTTATACCACCTTGGGCGGCTAAGGTTATTAGGAGAACAATGAAGCCGCCATCTTATAGAAAGGTGCAAAGCACCTGAGTGTACTGTATTTAGAATTTCCTTATCATCATTACCGCATAGCGTGCGAAACCAGTTTATTTTTTTTGGTCATTACGAAGAGGAACACTAAATGTACATGATCTGTCCGGTCATTTTTACATGCTTATCCATATGTTTTGAGGTCTGACCTCAAAATCCAATGTATAGTGAAATGTACAAAAACTACAACTTCAACACGAGCCACTCAGATGCCAGCCGCGGCTCAAGACTCTGGATCTGGCCGACGACCCCTCCGAGGGGACCTTGCGTGTGCTTGCCGCCCTGCCACACCTTGGGCCCGGCGTAGTGCGAGACGAACCCGTCCGGCCCGGAGACGATGAAGAGGTTCTTGCCGGGGAGGGCGCCCTCCGTGGGTGCGCAGCTGCACGGCGGGCTGTCGGACTCGAACTCGGACGCCTCCTCGTGCAGCTTCTGGTTGTGCAGGAGGCACCTGGGCCCCGTCACGGACGCCGAGGGTTGGTTTCCCTCGGTCGTCCGGGCGAGCGCTTTCCGGATGTTCTCCAGGCTGAAGGACGACCCCTCCTCGTCCACCACGACCTGCACGTCGATCCTGGACCCGTACCGCGCCTTCATCTCCGCGAGCTGGCGAGCCACGGGGCCGGCATCCCGGATGTCGACGCCCAGCTCTGTCGGCTCGGCCCCCTTCTTCCAGAACTCCCACCAGCACGGCCCGCCCGACGAGGTGGATTTGGTGCCCTGGACTTCGTGACGCTTCCGCACCGCCCAGAGCAGGCTCACGCTCGTGTCCTGGTACCCGTCGAGGGCGACCTGCGCGGCCTGCATGCCGGGTACGATGCCCGTCCCGCCGGCGAGGAAGACGATGGCCTTGCTGGCGCCGAGGCGGTTGACCAGGTCGAAGCCGACGTGGGGCCCGCGGAGCCAGACGTCCTGCCCTACGCGGAGGCGGCAGAGGTAGTTTGACATCTCGCCGTCGCCGACGGCGCGGATGTAGAACCGCAGGACGCCGCTCCTGTCCTCCTCTGAGGTTTGGGACAAGGACGGAGGGAGAGGGGTGTAGTGGCGGGAGATTTGGACCTCTGGCTGCTTGAACTCGACTGACCAGAGGGGGTGGCGCCAGCCGCTGGATGAGGGGAGGAGGTATGGCGGGTTGGGGTCTGGGTTCCGCGGGGTGATGGATATCACGAAGGAGGAAGGGGAGAGGGCCTCGCGGGAGGTGATTTGGTAGGGGACAAAGGTCTTGCTGTTGAGAGTCGCCTGCTTGGAGGATGCGGGAGAGGTGGTGTAGTAATACAGGATGCCACCGAACACTAGGCCAATGGCGAGAAACCGGCCGGATCTCCTGGATCTCTTTGGTGGTACAGGAGAAGATGTATCCGAGTAGGCTCTGGAGGATCCTCCATCGGAATAGACGCCTTGGGAGAGTATAAACGAGGCTGCTCTGGGTGATGGCCAAGGAGCAGCCCTAGGGCATCTGATCTCAGCTAGACGAGCCTCGAATGCTCCTGTGGCAACCCTATGCCGGGCCCTCGCCCATATACATGGTTGAGCCATTGGGGCAGAAATACAGCCCCGGTGAAAGCTGAGGGCAGTCAAAGCAAAATGCGGTTGGAGTGATCAGGAACAATATGAGAATGCTGGATGCATGTAGGGGGCGTGACTGTCCGCTGATCCGGAAGCCCAGCCGGACAGACGCCTACAAGGCAACTCCCTCGGAGGGCGAGAATGAGAGATCGAGCGGGTGTGACGTTGACGACTCGCGGGTTCCCGAATAAGCCAACGACGGGCGGGATTACCCAGCCATGATGAAAATCAGTGTAATAACGGGACTTTGATGCTTGTTTAACCAACGGTTTTGACTGGCCTGAAAATTAGTGACGATCCATCTCGGCCCCACATTATTTTCAGAGGCATCTGATGGCATCTGAGATGAATCTACGATAAGAGAAAATCGCATTGTGAAATGGGATACTTTCTACATGATTCATATTTCCCTTCTAGATCATAGAGGAAGAGAAATGTGTATTTCGTGTATAGATCTTACGGCAGTTTAGTGGCAATTACGTTGTCATATGCCTCGTAGCAACAGGGTGGATTTATGTAAATTCTAGATCTCTCATTAATATGACCATTTCCAATCCTATAATAATACAAATGCCCTCTAATCATACATATGTAATCTTGTCATAAGTCTCATAACCGTAATATCTTCCTGTCCGAATCTATACCCCCCCTAAACATATCCTCCACCACATTCCCCTTGACCACCGTCTCATTCACCAATCCCTCCACATGCTTTGGCTCAACCCTCCCGTACCAGATCCCCTTCCCTGCTAATGGATGCGGCCGTCCATCCTTTTGCAGCAGCTTGGGAGGCAGGTAGATGATCACGTTGCCCGCAAACTTGTGCCCGCCGATGTGGCTCACCAGCCCGACCCTCACCCCCGTCACTTTTTGCTCCTCCTCTCCCACACTGCCCTCAATCTGGGTCGCCTCCTCCTCTACCACATCGCGAACCACCACAGGCCCCCTCCGTACCTCGAACCCATCTGTGCTTCCCAGCTTCTCCTCAAACTCACCCCGCAGCAGCGGTCCCATCACGCCGCACCTCTCATCCCGCCCGCCGTGCCCGCAGATGAGCACCAGCACCTCGTCCACGTCCTGCACACCCGGCAGCAGACTCCTGTACGTCTCGTCCCGCGTCATCAGATCCCGATGTATGGGCGACAGCCCCCCGTGCGCCGCGTGCAGCGTCGTCGGAAGCAGGTACCCCTTGGCCAGCGCCTGGACGGCCTCGAAGGACACGCGCGGGAGGAAGGGCACGTACTTGAACGACGGGAGGATGTACGCCGAGGTGGTCTGCACCTCGCGCCGCGGCGGGATCGAGCTGGGCATCGACGAGTTCAGCACGGAGACGTTGTGGAACGGCTGAATTCACACATTTTGTCAGATTCTTCTTCCTGGTCTAAATGTGTCAAGAATTGAGGTTGACTCACGTCTCTGTACTTGCCGCCACGCCCAAACAGCTCCTTCAGGTCCGCCGCGAGGTTATCCCCGCTGTTATCCTCCTCGATCCGCGACGCCCAGTCGTCCTGCCCGGTGCACACCAGCACGTGCTCCGCGTACCCTGCCATGACCCCGTTGAGCGGGCTCTTGTGGTCAATGTCCAGGTCACCCGGCATGGGCGCGCACGAGCAGGTCGGCGAGGGACATGTGGGGATGGTAGGGAACGGCGGCGGCTTCGGCTTGAGTCTGGAGGTCCTCTCGCTCTGCCCTCCTCCCGAGCTGCGCGGCGCCGATGACCCGGCCGCCGCAGCTTCAGCGGCGAAGCATCGTCGAGCCGCGGGGACGGATGTAATGGTCGGCCGGAGGAGCCATTGGCTTCGGGTCCGCATTCTTTCCTTCCAAGAACTAGAGACGGCCGAATTGTTCGCTCCCAGGTCTTGGAAAGCCGGAGTGGGAAGGACCAAAAGAGTGTGGGTGTGAGAAGCTGTTGAGGCAGCGAGCAGTAGATCAAGTATTAATAATAAGCCGAACCCGAGAAGCTGTCGGAAGCCGAGATGCGTCATAAGCCCAGGAAAATAGCCCGCCAGCTCCATCAATCGAGCTTGGCCCTCGATGCTTCCCCACATCGGAGATGCAGCTGCATCGATGGACGTACCCCACAAACCAGGTCCTTAATATAATCCCCAAACACTCGACACTCTTTCATCGCTTGTAATGCATTCACTGACAGAAACCAAGTCGAGTTCATTCTAAAATTTGTATGCTGGTGTAAACTTGAAATCTTATCTATAGTGGCGCTTCCTGGACACCGATGAACGAACACAAAAGAGAATCCAACAATCCAAGCTGTAGCAACACCCTACCTACTCAGTATTGTGTTATGCATATCCAATATCCAACTAGAAAATGTACCAATCTTTAGTCGACAGACAAGAAAAAACTCCCTAGCGCTCTAAACCAAAGTCAATTTGTATTCATGGTCCGTCCCCCTCAAAATACTGCCCCCCTCCTATCACAGTAGCCAGGTTCCTTGGGCTCCTCAGTTGCCCAGCTCATGACGGTAAGTGCGGTCGTGTAAGCCATGGCGACGACTCCAAAAATGCAAAGAACGATGTCGGAATACTTCCAGAATCGCGTGCGGGCGACACCTCGGTAGTGCAGCATAGGCTGTGGTAAACATGGTTAGTCAAGAGGTTACATCAATAGAAAGTGAACAGAACATACCGGATAGATGTAGACAAGCGGGATACAAGCAAAGTTGCCCACGAGGGCGACAAACTTGTCGAGGTGGTCCGCACCGCCCCATGCAATCGCCGAGCAGAGCCCAACAACGAAGAAGCGGAAGCTGTTCTTCTGCCACTTGATGTACGGATTGTACTTGCCGCTCCTGGTGAAGAGCTCCGTCTCAACAATACGAATAGCTGGGAAGATCTGCAGGGGGGTTGACAGAAGAATGGCAAGGGAGTAAAGGAACTGGACTCCGTTAACCATCTTGTTGTCCTGGGGAAGATTAAGCAAGACGACAGTCTCTGTCTTGGATCCGTAAGCGGCGTATGACACAGCTCCCATAACTGTAAACAAGACGGTGATGATGACCATGACAAGGAACAGGACCTTGGGGAACTTCTCTGGCTGCCTCATGGACTCCTGAATGGGGATAATCAGACCAATTCCCTCAAAGGTAAAGATGGCAGTGCCGATAAACAAAGTCCAGTTGTCCTTGTTGAACATGATGATATCGGCAAGACCTTCTGAGCTGAGAGTCAAGATGTCGTAGTAGAAGAGATATCCGAGACCAATCAGAATGAACGCATCGGCGATCAAGGCGGTAAATCCAAGCTTTCCAATATCCCTCAGCAGAGAGAATGGAAGGAAGATGACCATCTGCATGAGGATGAGCCAGGGAGTGCCGATGTTCGTCCTGCAGTCGGAGACAGCCAGGATGAAAGAGCGCAAGTTCTGGGCGGTGAACACGGTATAGGCAGCGACGAAACCAATCTGGCTGAGAACAATTGATCCCAAAATGAGAGATCGCAGCCACTTTCCGTACAGTATACCTCCCATATCACCGAACGATCCCTCCACTCGCAATCGGGTATTAACCAGAAGAACGAAGCAGTAATAACTGAGGATCGCGACGAACAAGAGAACAACATTACTAAAAATCATTCCTCCATTGAGATATGCTCGGGGAAGGAAAAGCACGCCGGTTCCCACGAATGATTTCAGCAGCAGCATCAAGGCATTCGTTGGGCTGTTATTTCCAACAATTGGGCGGGTCTTTCTGCGGCGTCTTCTCCTCGAGGGCGGTAGCAGGGCACTGTCTTCCATCGGCTGGTGGTCCTCGTCACTGAAATAGTCACTGTCCTCACCCGATGAGAAGTACTCGTTGGGGCCGAGAGCCTCATCGTCCTCCTCTAGCTCTTCACCCGCAAAGTGTCCATAAATGGACAGGAACTCGAGGAAACTCGACGTGAAAAGCTGAGGTTGAGAATCATCGCCATTGTTCATGTCCTGACGAGGACCACCGCTGGGACTACCAGCAATCCGTCGCAGGTGATTTCTCCGGAAGCCACCAGGGACCTTGATCGTGTTAATGTCAAGCGTCTCGTCCTCGGGCTCCGGTCTCGGCTCATTGAAACTCTTGCTCCGCTGCACCTTTGATCGTGCTTCTGCCTGCTCGGTCCACTTGTAGATTGGGCGGGTCACATCTCCTCCCTGCAGCTGCAGGCTCGAAAACGTATCGCTCGCCGCACCCCCATCCTTGTCCTGCTGCTTCCCTTTCGTCACCCCGGGAAGAAGAGACGACTCTTCGGATCCTGCATTGTCGCTATCATTGGGCTGGACCAAATGCCTCTTTACCACCTCGACATCCTCGTATGGTCCAGTGCTGCTGGCTGGTCCGCGCGACGTAAAGGAACCATAATTGGTCGGAGTCAGTCGCCCGGCGACGCTGGGTGAATGTGTTCGGGGAGGTGGTGTGCTGACTCGACCGGCGGGTGTACCGTAACGAGGAGGATCTTGGCCTAGAGAATCGGATAAAGCCGCGGCCAAAGCCGAGACGCCAGGTCCTTGGGGACCAAGTCCACCTCCAGCTAGAGGAGCGAGCTCATCCGGAGCGGACGTGTTTGGTCGAGGAGAGCCGCCGCGTTGAACTGGTGGCGTGCCAAACTGTGAGTAAGATGGAATCGGCGAGGCAAGGCGAGCGGTAGCGTCGGACCGCGGGACTGAGCCAACAATTGATCGCGGCGCCTGCTCCTCGGCGCCGTCAGCACCGCTGCTAGAGGCGTTTTTCGGTTGAGTCGACATGACTGTCAGCTTCTATGTCTGTTCCTGGTTTCGGCGCTCGGCTACACTTCGAGTCGCACACGGGCTTGTGAAGTGACGGTAACGCCTCGCTTGCTTGTAGCGGGCGTCGAGAGGCGGCAGACGAGATGCACGCCGCAGTGTAGATGCCGGTACGGTTGAGATATAGATTCTACAATAATGAGGCGGGGGAGTGGGCTCGGCGACGCCAAGCGTCAGGTGGCAAGGCTGCTGGCAGCAATTGAAGAGGCGATGAGAGCTCTGTTGATGGAAAGGTCTGGGTTGAGTCTGGGAAGGCACTTTTGAGGCGGGAATCACCTCGCTGTGAGCGATTCCCGACCAGGCTTAGGCTGACCCTCTTTCGCTGAGACATGCCCTGCTGATGACTCTGACTCCAGCGGTGGCGGCGCTGTGTGTACCAGCTGATGGGGAGGGAAGGCCCTGGACGGTGGAGAGCTGAGGGCTGCCTGGCTGCCAGGCCCAGGGACGCCTCCAAGGTTACCGCCGCACTAGACTGCACGGGCCCTAGGTACTGCTACCCACTCGCTAACACGTTTGACCTGACGTAGCCGCAGCAGCTTAATCGATCGGGGCTGGTTCGCTGAGCGGTGCAGCGATGCAGCATGCATATCTAGGCTACTGGGTCAGTCAAACCAAAGCCGGTTGGTTTTTCCTCTTCCTTGTTCGTGGGTGAGCTGGGAACGGGGACGGTGAGTGCTACAGATGTCTTGGGGCCTTCCAATCGGACTCCAATTCCATGGACACAGCAGGCAACCTACTGTAGCCCAGTAGCATCACCGGAGGCTATCTTATCCAAGCATCGGATGTTAGCATGGTACAGAAACAGCTGCACTCCTCCTGATAGGCAGCACGGACCAGTCAGATAACCGACATTCTAATAAACGAGACACCTCCATTTGCTCGGAAATCCAGAGTGTGACGCACCCACTTGAGCCACACTCTGCAGCATCAAAGCAGCACGTTCCGCAGCGGTCCTCTCGGCTGTTGAGCTAGGAAGAAAACAGGAGCATGCCGTGCTGCTGGGGTTTGAAGCGAGCCCTGTCGTTCATTAAATTCACAACTTAGACGAATGTAAATGCAGCGCAAATGCACGATGAGGTAATCGCTAAAGGCTCTTGTGAGGTCATTGCTCAAATGGCACCGATATTCTAGAACTCGATAGCATCAAAGAGGCTCTTATTGCTAACGTACGAATAAGCCCCTCGGAGCTACAATGATGGCTCCCTCTAGATCAACATGATACTTGCACCAGCCTAACAAATCTACCGCTCAAGGGGCCATCTCATCAACACACCCGCTGCATTATCATGCATGTGCATAAATAGATATCCTGCATCGTTCGCAACACATGTGCAATGTCGAGCCTATCGCTTACGAAGCCGTCGACAGTTACACCAGCAATAACACGAGCCACAAGACTACGCACCTGACTTGGCACTCATATGTCCAACTTCTCGTTACCAACAATCGGAGATCCCAGGTTGCTGACCCTCAGGCCATGTCTCTCACCTGAACATCCAAGTCAGCTGTGTTGAGCCAGTGTGGGGGTCGGCGGCTGATCATGCCAACCCCCAGCCACCCCAGATTCTCCTACACGAATCAGCAGGTGGCAGATGTCTCTGCCGAGGCTGGAATAGGATTAACAATTTTTAATTCATGCCAGATCTATCGATTACTATACTTTGAACAAACTCTAGGCTGGTATCGTCGCTTTCAAAAATCTCCGAGCTGTAAAACAACCATCATGTAAATCAATGAGCCTCCACCTCAAGCCCAGTCGTGTTACCAGCATTCCTCCGCTGCACATCCGCAATAGTCTTCTTCAAGGACTCCGGGGCATCGCTCATATCCATCATGACCTCCACCATCACCAAACCTTTTCCCCTAACAACATCCTCATCTCGCAGAACGGCCGTCATCTCACCCCAGTTGCTGGCCCGGAAGGTCCTCACCGGGTATGACGGGTCGTCCTCGCGAGCGCCAAAGAACCTCGGCGCATCCAGGTGCCTCCACGGCTGGATGTCGTTGTAGCTAGCATTATACCCGTGGATGAGGCGCTCGATCGTGTATCCGTTATTATTCAGCACAAACATGACAACGTCCAGCTTGTTCCTGATGATGTCGCTGATCGCCTGCGCGGTCATCTGGAGACTGCCATCGCCTTCGAACAAGATGACCCGGCCGTCGGGGCGTGATCCCTCTTTGACCATTTCTCGCTGCGCCAGGCTCACGCCTTGGCTAGCAGCTAGCGTGTAGCCGATGGAGAGCCAGATGGATGAGTTGATGAGTGTAGTATTATTCGGCAGCACGAAACTCTGGCCGCCAGATGATGAAGTCCCTGTCTCCGTAAGAATAATATCACCGGGCCGGAAAAATCGTGACATGTGAAGCCAGAAGGTGTATTGATCTACCACAGCAGCTTCGTCTGGAGCAGGGAGTGCCTTCAAAAGTGCCCTGGGGTGGCCATAATTGGGAGGAAAGGACTCGAACGTAGGCAGAGTAGTTTCCTCCAGCTTACGCAGGAGTCTCTCCAAGACCGACTTGATGTCCACCGGTTGGTAAATCTCCTCTCCATTCTCAGTGTAGGAGACGGCAAACTTGTGGAAAGTAATTGTAACATCAGAAGGGGGCTTCGCAGTAAACCCAAATGTGTTGACCTCAGCCTCCAACGGGCCAAAACGAATCGCCAGGTCACAGCTCTGGACCCACGAGTGGTGCTTGGGCTCCCCGGCAGAACCAAAGTAGATGCCGTGGAAATTGGGCAAGTCTTCATCCACGATAGACTTTCCAAAGGGTGTCGTGAGTGTAGGGCACTTCGTAAGTTTCACCAGCTCATTAACTTCCTCTGAGATTTGGAACCGGTCAGTGAACCCATCGACCAAGACCATGAATCTCTTGGCGCTCTGAATACTGTTGAATATCATATTCACAATACGGCCTTCGTTGGGGGCGTTGATTCCGTTCAGACTTGGGATGCTAAAATCAAGAGCGGCTGATGGGCGCGTCACTTTAGTTTGAACCATATCAATGGGCAGCTCGATGTAGACAGGCCGGCTTTGCAACAAACATTCGCGCAAGGTTGCGTCGATGGAGCGAGCAGCCTTGGATGGATCATTCAGATTAGCCTGTGCCACAGTCACCGACTTGTACATATCTGCAAAGACCCTGAGGTTGCCGTTTCCGAGTGAGTGGTGCAGGCAGGCGTTGACTTTCTGAGCGGCCAAGGGGGGTGTTCCCACGATGTGGACAACTGGAACCATCTCGGCATAGGCACCAGCAACAGCGTTTATTGCGGACAGCTCGCCAACACCGTAAGAGGTTATCAACGCCCCAATGCCTTTAATCCTAGCATAGCCGTCGGCAGCATAGCCAGCGTTGAGCTCATTGGCGTTGCCAACCCATTGGAGGCCGGCAGGTTGGATGTAGTCGAGAGCATGAAGGTTGTAGTCTCCAGGAACTCCGTGGACTGAGCCAAGTCCAAGCTGAGCCAACCGAGTAAAGAGATACTCGGCGAGGTCCACTTGATGTTCCATGACAGGTCTGTTTCTAGAGACGAACGGGGCAAAAGGGGTATAAGCTTGTTAAGCGGGTGGGTTATCAGCTGCCGTTGGCTTTCATGAGATGTGAGCAGACTAATGAATCATTTGGAAGATATCAGGCTCGATATATACACATCTGGACATCGACAGAATTATCCCTCTCTCCATCTATTCTCCATCTGTCTGATTTCTTCTTGTTGTCGATATCTGTTAATCTGTTGATACCATCGTCTCCACACTACGCCGATCCGACATGAGGTGATTCCTTCACGATATCTGTGGATATCCTGCTGCACTCTTCCCCTGCTGCGTTACTTCTAGAGTCCGATTCTAACCAAGAATCTTGACTTTGATGTGGTTCTTATCGGAAATTATAAGTGATCATTAATTGATGTTGTAAGAGCTAAGACGAAGCATCATCGGGAGATATCGGTGGCCGAGTCGGTATCAATCGACCCACCCCGTGAAGACCACGGTGCTACACGAAGACCACGAGATATCCAAAGGGCTTGAAGTATTGGCTGCAGATGCAGGGTTCAATTCAACAGCGTCGGGTGCTCTGCAAGGTCTGTCCAAAAATTCATCTCAAACTCCCACGACTGGAAGTTGAAGCTCGGATCCAGGTCACCCATGAAATTCTCATTCATTGGCTGCTCAGACTGCGCGGGGGCTGGATTCGTCTGCCAGGATATCAATGAGTCCAAGAGACTCTGTATCGTCTTGGTGGCGCGTGTGAAGAGAGCAAAGTTGGGATCCCCTGGCTGGATCCATGCCCCCACCGTGATCTCTGCTGCCAGGACACTTAAATCTTGCACCAACTTCGACCTGGAAGGCGCTACGGCGGATGGCGGGATAGATGTGTTCAATAATGCGAGTGAAATTATTCCAGCAGCAGGAAGACCGTACTGCGAGACCTGTTTCCCTGTCAGGTTCCGAGTTCTTTTCACGCCCCCTTTAAAAAGGGGGTGAAAGTAAGGAAACTAATCCTACCTTCCATATAAGACTTGTCCCTGCGTTCACAAGGCAGTCACGAAGTATTATTGTTTCTACGATGAGTGACAATATCTCGCCTGCAACCTCGAGCATCGTCTCGCTAGGTTCAGATATCTTAACCTGCGAGGATAAGCTAAGAAGAAAGTGGGTGTGCAGATAGTCGAGGCGTGTTCCGACAAGGAAATCTCGCTCAAACGCAGCACGGCGACAGTCTTTTAGACTAGTTGTCAGGCGATAATGTTCTGGCAATTCAAGCCACTGCTTTTCAATCCTCAATCGTATCTCGCTATATAGCTAGTCAGAGAATCTCTTGCCAGGTAATGAAGTTCTCATTGGTCTTACTTGGTAATCTCCTCATCTCGCACCGAATTTGTGCCGCGCAAAAGCCGGAGGATATCCTCCTTAATAAAGGCAAACAGCGCTGCACAGCATGTATCTGCCATATAATTA